AGTCCACAAGGACTTTGGATCAAATATATTTTGGGAGTTCTGTGCTCCCCAATTACACATGGGCCCAGTTTGGATATAAATAACAGTGCTATTTAGGGTTGCCTGGCCCCCGGAATTAAGATTGCCGGGGAAAACATCAACAGCCTCAGATATGCAGACGATACCACTCTAATGACAGAAAGTGAAGAGGACCTAAAGAGCTTCTTGCTGAAAGTGAAAGAGGAGAGCGCAAAAGTTGGCTTGAAACTCAACATCAAAAAAACTTAAGATCATGGCATCTGGCCCCATCACTCCTTGGCAAATAGAAGAAGTCATGGAAGCAGTGACAGACTTCACGTTCCTGGGATCCAAGATCACTGCAGATGGTGCCTGCAGCCATGAAATTAAAAGACACCTGGTCCTTGGGAGGAAAGCGATGGCTAACCTAGACAGCATAATGAAAAGTAGAGACATCACCCTGCCAAGAAACGTCTATAGGGTCAAAGCAATGGTATTCCCAGTAGTAATGTATGGCTGCGAGAGTTGAAGAATAGATGCTTTTGGATGATGGTGCTGGAGAAGACTCTTGAGAGTCCCTTGGACTGAAGGAGATCAAATCAGTCAATCCTAAAATAAATCAACCCTGACTGTTCCCTAGAAGGCCAGATACTGAAGCTGAAGCTCAAATACTTTGGCCACCAAATAAGAAGGGAGCACTCACTGGAGAAGACTCTGATGCTGGGAAAGATTGAAGGTCAAAGAAGACGGGGACGGCAAAGGATGAGCTGGTTAGACAGTGTTATCGATGCAACAAAGATGGAATTAAGCGAACTCCGAAGGACGATGGAAGACAGGAGGGCCTGGTGTGATGTGGTCCATGGGGTCGCAAAGAGCCTCCAACAGGGGCTCCCCACCACCACTCAGCTGGCCATCATTTAAAAGCTGTTATTATTGCCAAGCCGACCATAGAGAGGCAAATTTGGCAGTGCCAAAATTCCAGGGACGTCTGCCTCAACTAAGTAAATGTCATGGAGAGTAGAGCTGATTGATGCCTATACATCTGGGAAAGATGTTCATTGCTCTTATTGACCAGCCTCTCTTATATGAATGTTATAATCACTGGAGACTTTGTGCTGTGTCTTGTTCCATCTGCGCTGGTTTCCAATCTGCTTCCAGACCCAATTCAAGGTGCTGGCAGGGGTCATTTTGGGCCGGAACAAGCCGAAACGGCATTCCAGCAGTGTTGCCAATCCCATCTCTATGGCAACAAGTGGCCATGCACTTTCCTGCGCTTGTCAGCCTCACCATAAAGTGCATTGCTGCAGGAGGTCTTTGACCGGCAGCTGCTGCACCCGCTGACAGGCTGCCTAATGGCCGACCCGGCGGAGTGCTGCTGTGAGCTGGCCCTCAACCCCTTCCCTGAGGCCAAGCGTGAGGCCTGTGCCATGGCCGCCTAAGCCACCAAGGCCCTGCCAAGTGCGGGAGGGGAGCAGGAGCAGGAACGGGAGTGAGCCTAGGCACGCAACAACAGCCCCGACAGGTAAGCTAGATGGAGAGAGGAGGGCGGTCGGGCTGGCTCAAGAGCACCCAGCTCCTTGCAACTGCCCTGCGAGGTAGGCTAGGCTAATAGCTAGGGTTGCCAGGTCCCCCCTGGCCCCCAGAGGGGAATGGGGGGGTGTAGATTCGGCCCTTTTCTATGATATTGATGTGGTCCCTTGGTGCAAAAGCACTTAGTTTTCTGTTTGCTGACTGCAGACAATCACATGTATATATACTTTTCTTAAGAGGCTCTTTCAGTTTCCCTCTGTCTAAAAACTTCTACAATTGTGACTGAGTTCATTTGTTTAGCTATATTTTGACTCAAGAGTTGGTTGTCAGTATTGTTCTGCTGTTTCCTTGTGTGCTAGCCTTTTGTTTCATATAGATCATCTGCTTCCCCTCCTCTCCATAGCTCCTTTGTCATTGCTTTAAAGTAGAAGGTCTATATACCAATCTTACCTATAACCAGCTTGCATAAAGGTTAACAGTCAATAAACACAAAATGTGCCAAACAAAGCTTGAGTCCAGTGGCACCTTTAAGAACAAACAGAGTAATTCTGGGTCTAAACTTTCATGTGAATAAACTTTGTTGGTCTTAAAGGTGCCACTGAACTCAAACTTTGTTCTGTTGCATTGGGAAAGATACTCTTAAGTACCACTGCTAACGAAACATTGAGCTGCTATCCTACCTTAAGCATGTGTCGACAGGAGGTGTTGGGTCTCCCCTAATAATTTGTTCAAGTAACTTTGTTTAGTCTTTTGTACAGTGTAACCCTATTGCCTGTGTAGAAGAGCCCTCTTGAATAATTCAGGCTTGCATAGATTCAGGTGGGTAGCCGTGTTGGTCTGAAGCAATAGAACAAAGTTTGTGTCCAGTAGCACCTTTAAGACCAACGAAGTTTAATACTGGGTATAAGCTTTCATGTGCATGCACTCTTTTTCAGATACATTGAAACAGAGTCATCAACCATTACATGTAGGTAGAAAGTGAGGAGGATGTTGCCCTTGTCTGTAGATTTCTGCAAATGTGGGAGCTGTAGCCTCTGTTCATAACTGGGTCATTGGTCACTTCTTCAGCTACGAAGTATCTGTATACCAGAGCAGTGGCTCACAAAAGCTGATCCCCTGCCACAGATTTTCTTTGTGCTTTTGAAGCAGTTTTTCTCCAGGTAGGCTCACCAGCTCTGAGTTGGGAAATACCTGGAGATTTTTGGGGTGGAGCCTGAGCGCTGGGTGTTGCCTTCTGACACACTTCCGGTGATGTCAGGGGGTGTGGTGTATGCTAATGAGCTATGCTAATGAGCTCCTGCACCTCTTTTTCTATGAAATGACCCCTGGGGTGGTATTGACTTTTAAAGCCCCGTATGGCCTGGGACCTGCATAATTTAAGGCTTGCCTACTCCCATACAAACCTACCTGACCATTACAATCATTTTCAGGGGGCCTTGCTTTGGGTGTCCCTATCATCTGAGGCTAGATAGGGTGACAACATGAGAAAGGGCATTCTCAGTCACGGCACCAAAATTATGGCATTCTGAGGGATATTTGCCTGTCCCCCTTGATCACTGTCTTGCACCAGCAGCTGAAGACAGAGAGAGAGAGAGAGAGAGAGAGAGAGAGAGAGAGTTGATTTTAATATCTGTTTGATTGCTTGTTGCCCTGTTTTATTTTGGTTATATATAGTCCACCCTTCTCATTTTGACTTGAGGCAGACTGGGTGCAAGGTAGCATGCAAACGTTTTAGATGAAATAAATAAAAGATTTCAAATAGGGATGGATGGCCACAAGACACAGGGGTATCCATTCTCCTGACACCTATTCCTTAAGTGTTAGGTGCTGGATGAAGATAGTTTTATTTTCCCAAGCATCTGTTGATAGTGAATGTTTCAGCTGACTCTATTCCTTTTCACTACTCTTACCTCATTTTAGGTTCATCTGTTTTCTTTCACCATCTTCTTTTGAACATTATTATTAGCACTGTATTTAATTTCCTAGACTCATTAGATAAGTTATAATGTGGTTAGGGTATGATTGATTTTATATTTTTATACTGTTCCCTTTTCTGCAAACCATCCTGAGAATACTAAGCTGGCTGTGTTCTGAATGCCATTCATAGATTCTTGACTCCCTGGTTGTACAGGCTTTCTTTTGGTCTTATTTCTATATCTCTTGCTATGGTTAAAGAAGAGGAAATTACATTACGAAGAAGCCTCCCCGCAGTGGCTCTGCTGGGCTGAGGTGTGAATTCTCTGAGTGTAATCTCGCTCATACAATGAAACAACCACTCCTCCCCTTCATAGTTAGACTATAGGACCTCTGTTTGCTAATTAAGAAAGACAAGATTGGGGGGGGGGTTCCTCTGTTTTGACGCTGAGCATGATAAAGGCCATTTGCAGAGGGTGATTTTTTAGCCACCTTAATATTTTAGATTGAACAAGCAAACAAGCAGATGCCTTGTTCAAGTCTGAAATGCCTAACATCATTTTCTCTTAGGTCTTTGTCTGTCCTGTGCCTTTCACCTAATGAAGGACCAGCAGATAACAATGGTCTCTGTTAAAAGCAAACGGCTCTTAGCTTCCAAAGCACCACCTTCAGCCCCTCCAAGCCAGTTCAGCATTTTTTTAGCAGGGGTAGGGGGGGGTCATTTAAGCTTGGAAAGTGCCTTCTCTCCCCCTATTGAGTTATTGCCTTCCATCTGCTTTTCTTTAGCTGGGTACTAGTCATACCCCCCAATCCAGTTCAGAAGCAAATCTGGTTGTACCTCCTTTCTCCAAGATGTGTCATGGACCCAGGACTGCCATGGGTACCTCTTTCCTCTGGGACAGGCAAGGCAGCTCTAGCTCTGCCTTAGTCCAGAATGTCTATGATTTTAAAATATTTTCCACAGGCAAGAGTATGAATCTCAGAAAAAACTCCAGGATTTAGTAGCAATCTACAGGATTTAGGAGCAATGTCCTCCATCCCAGTTTAAGCAGAGGGTCTGTCTGTTTCTCTTCCCTCTCCACCCCCTTTCGTGACATCCATAGGTGTGAACAGCAAAGAACATTTCATCATGAGATGTTCTCTTATGTTAGATTTCATTTTCGTTAAGCAAAACTTGCAACGTTGCACAGGTTCCCCCTTCTTCTCTGTAAATAATCTTCCCCCTACTGTTTCAGCAGTCAGTTATTTCATGTGTGTATTTAATACCCTCCCCTTTTTTGCCTGCAAATAGCAAAGTGCAAAACACTCTTTTACGTGAATATGGCACAGCTCAAAGACCGAGCAGTTACTGCTAATGCTAATTCATGTGAAGACCAGTTCATGTCAAGTTAGCTGATTTCCTAGCAACAACACATGCAATTTTACTAACAGGAATTATAGCATTATTGACTTGAAGTGCTGATTTCCTGTCATTTCAAAGTGTGCCATTCCCTCTCATTACCAATCTGCTAAATGAATAACGCTGGACCTTTCCCCCCCCAACCCCCTTCCTTTTTCAGCAATGGTACAGCAGCTCCATGAAAGTCATATGCATGTGGCTGGCTGATAGATTAGACCTCCAGCTTCATATATACCAGCTGAAAACGCTCATCAAGATAGTGAAGGTAAATTATATTACATTTGGATTGCAGAGCAACATTGCAGACATCAACAGCCAAAATGTTATTGTCTTAACATTCAGGTCTTCCTGTGATGAAAAGCTGTTGCCACGGCACAAGACAAGGAGCATGGACAACAATACTTTTCTAGAGCAACAGGAAGGGGAATAGACTTTTTGGTTACTGTCCTTGATTTTGGCAAACAAAATACTTAACCGTTCAGTGCTACCAGTGGTTTGTCACCTTAACCCCAGTTAGGCTCAAAGATCCACAGTGAAATTATTGTTTAACTCATCATACTAAGCCTTCCCATGGGGAGTATGTATATAAGTCCTGAAAACAAGCAAAACATGCTTTTATCATGTTGTGATTGGTGCATCTGTTAAGACTTAGCATGTTGTCAAACCAGAATTGTCATGAACCACCATGGGTCCCCTGACAAAGATTTCCTCTGGTCCCCATCCCCACACCACTCAGACGTGACACTAACACCATATTAAAAAACAACAACAACAGCTGGTCTGATTTATTGGACCTCAAAGGTTAACCAGGCCCCCCAGAACCACATCTACCTAGACCCTTCCCCCAGGTTTTTTTTTTGGGGGGGGCAGATTACTGGTTATGAATTCATAACATGGTTTGTGGCCATGTTTTAATTATTTAGGTCTTAACAGTTAACCATGGTTGAGGAAAGCAAACCTTGGTTAACCATCATATCTGCATAGCCAATTTGGTGTAGTGGTTAAGTGCGCGGACTCTAATCTGGGAGAACCGGGTTTGATTCCCCACTCCTCCACTTGCACCTGGCTGGATGACCTTGGGCAAGCCGTAGTTCTGATAAGAGCTGTTCTTGAAAAAAGAGCAGCTTCTGTCAGAGCTCTCTCAGCCCCACCTACCTCACAGGGTGTCTGTTGTAGGGAGGGGAAGGGAAAAGAGTTTGTAAGCCGCTCTGATACACCTTTGGGTAATGAAGGGCGGGGTATAAATCCAATCTCTTCTTCTTCTTCATAGAACCTTAGAAATTAATACCATTTTAGTAGAATGAAGCAAATTGTAGGGCTGGCTAATCAACTGTTGACTTGCTGCTCCAGTTTCCAGTCAACTGTTTTTGTTTTGCTCCCCCCCCCCACGGAACAGCTGGATTCCTCAGTCCTGGTAGTCATGTTGTCTTTTGATTCGGCACAAAAACAAACATATTCTAATACTGCATTATAATAGTGATTATCAGTATTTATACACTGATTTTTTCCCAAAGAGCTCAAAGCACTTCACATACATTATTTCAGTAATCTATGTAGGCCCCGGTCACATGGGCAGGAAACTGCGGGGGAGAAGCATGGCTGTTTGCCCTGGGGCAAACTACCGCGTGGTTACGCGATCAGACCTCCTGTGGAGGTACCGTGGAGGTTCCATGGGAAGGGAGAGGTGCCGATCACAGGACAAGCCGGCGCGCAACAAAGAAGCGCGCGCCGCGGCAAACTGTTCTTTGTGTGTGTGTACACGACAAACGCGCATGCTCCGTTGGGTGCATGTGCGCATCCACAGAGACTTGGACAAAAAAACCCACCTTATTTGCAAGGGGACATGGGCGGGCGCCGGATGCCACCAGAAACGCGATCAGACGCCCGCCCTTGCCCCGCAGTTTCCAGAAACTAGTACCTCCGAGGTACTAGTTTTTTGCCACGCAGTTTTGGTGGGAAGCCTTGGTTGAGCCACGGGAGTGCTACGCTTCCCAGATGTGCTGGTGAGATCGCGCCCGGAAACTCTGCCTGTCTTCCATCTCACTTGTGTGGCTACTGTTCCGTGTGACCGCAGCCCTAATAACCTCTGTAAGGTAAACCAGTATTATTAACCCCTTGTTACAAGTGGAGAGACTGTGAGAAGGCAGTTGTCCTGTAAATTCATGTCTAAGATAGGATTAGATGCTATGATGTTGGTCTCCATTATTAATAAAATGTCCCAGAGAACCTACTGACACATACACACACACACTTAAACATTTATATTGCACCCTTCAGCCCAAAGCCTCTCTGAGTACCTCACAACATAGTAAAATACTGATACAATAAATCATACTCACAAAACCCAGTGGCAGAAATAACCTAAAACAACACAACATTACTAAGGACCAATTTAAGAACAGCCCCCCCCCAAATCATGTAATAAGCATACAAAGGAAGCAGCCAAACTGAATGTAAGCAGAGTGGCAGAGCAGGAAACCAACTCAACAAAGTAACATGAATTAACTAGCCAAACCGATATAGCAGTAAAACCACAGATAAGCCAACTAAATAAACATCAAACCATTCATCCAAAAACAGTTGGGTGAACAGGAACATGCCAAAAACTCATCCAGTGTCTGAAGCTAAACTGTAAATTAGTGAACTTTTTTATATTTGCAGTGCTGAATTATTTAGAACAGGTTGGAAAGAATGCCTTTAGCAATAATCAGGAGGATGAACAGAATCTGTGTTTTCACAACTGAATTGAAAGTACATAGCAAAATCTAGAGCAGTATACAAGCCAAATTGTACATGCTTCTAGCTTATGATAAACATGACCCTTGAGACCAATAAACTGCAGTAGAGAAACCTAAAAGGCCATTAATAAGTGATTGGTGGTTGAAGGCCTATCTGAATCAACTGAGCTATTTATAAGGTTCACTGCATAAATGAAGATTGACAGGAATTGATTCTTGCTTTCAGCAAATCTGATTCCACTGCTCCAAGGTGATTTGAATGGCCAAGAGCTGTTGATAGTGCTTGTATAAGTAGCCAAGGGATTTAAATGGCATCTTTCAGAGATAAAAATTCTTTCGCCTAGGAAGGGTCTTAACTTTACAAGAAGAAAGTGTGGAGAAACAGTAGGAGAAGAGTTTAATCAGCTAGATTTACTGTGATCACTTAAAGAGGTCATACAATTTCAATCACATGGGATCCTTCCAATCCAAAAGAAATTTTGAGATTTACATTCCTGAAGACACTACCACAAATGCAAGCCACAGTTCAGCACACTATGGCTCAGTGAACCTCAGGGTGTTTGCAGTGAGTGGCACACTGAGTGGCAAACTGAGCCCACACCAGAATACTTAGATTACCTTCTAATTGTTGGGGAAATTAGGAGTGCAGGAACCATTTCATGGACTCCCATTTCCACTGTGTCCATTGAGGAGGGAGAAGCTGGCAGGGGTTCCAATTGCATCAATTTATTCCATTACACACTCTTAAGACAGAGAACACTTTGTAGCATTTCAATATTCAACATAGAATATTTCAACACAAACCCAATACATAAATAGTGCACTTGTAATTCTATAAAGAATATCCTTGGTTGCTCTGTCAAGACCCATAACAGAGGGTGGTTGGCCAAAACAACCATGAACAAGACTAAATTCAGACATCAAGTACCTTTTTCTAGCCATAGGAGCTAATGTAACTGTCAGTTGCTAAGCATCTGTACAAGACAAAGCTCAGCCCTTTCTTTCTATCGCTGGGGTCAGGAAAGTCAGGGTGACTCAGAGAGTCAAGGAAGCTAGTTACAGATATCCTATTTAGAATTTGGTAGTGTATAAACATTCCAAAAAGCAAAAGTCATGCAAGACCAAAGTCATGTATCAGAAGGCCACAGCACTTAGCAGAGCCCTGAAGCCTCCTGGGAAGCAGAACCAAAGATTAAACTATACTTTATAGAAATTAAAGTGATATGGCCCTGTCCACACGAGGGGTTTTGGGCCGGATCGGGGCCGGAGCAAACGGGCGCGATCCCACTGCAACATCTGGGCAGCATTGCGCACCCGTCCCCGATCTGGCCCTTCCCCCGATGAAACGCATCAAAAATGAACCACCTACTGAGGTGGTTCATCCACGACGGCCGCATCAACGCCGGCCATGGGATCGCCGGCCCGGCTTTCTGCTGGCGCATCCCCGGCTCCTGCCTGAACTGCGCATGCTCAGACATGTGCAGTTCAGCAGTCTCCCGTTCCCCTCCATCGCTTCCCCCAGCATCTGATCGTGCCGGGGAGGGAATGCGCCGCGGCTCAGGGGATCAATGTGATCCCGCCGTGGCATGGTTTTTTTGGTGCGGCTTTCAGAAGCCGCACTTCAGCCCGTCCCTTTCCACCCCGTGTGGCAGGGGCCATAGGTTTAACAGAGGACTGAGGCTTAATCCAGGACCTGATTCCCTGACACTAATGAAGTTAGGCTGGTCGTAAAAATGTCAGTTCAAAGAGAGGAGAAATAGCAGCCAGCCATGGACATATAATTCATGTGAAGTATCCCAAACTCTTCAATGAAAACATATAAAGCAAAAGTCAAATGTTTAAAGCACTATTTCAGCATTCTCATGGCATTAAACAAAAGAGAACAACCATGTCGCATTCAAGAAGGGAGTTCCTCTCTTCTAATGCCACAGGTCAAATAAGAAACTTAAGGTCTATAAATGAGAAGTTTCCCCATGGCCAATAGACCTAACACCTGCTCAAGAACATCTTTCTTTTACTACACTGAGTAATGTCATGAACGAGAACATCCAAAGATCACACAACACAAACAGTGGAGCACAGCTCCTTTTTAAACAATCCCGGGCTGGTGTAGCCACGCCCTTACACGGTTAAGATCCAATCATAATTCATAGATAACATCCAATCAATACAGTTCCCTCCAGCACAGTTCTCTTTCATTTGATTGGTTACAATAAGCTTCAGCCAATGGTATTGTTTCAGATTAGAATCCTGGCTGAGGTTTCAAGCTTAACATTAGATTTCAATAGTGAAGACACAACAACCCCCAATTTAAAATGGTCCTTCCTCTCCAAAAGCCAGTGCCTGGATGTTCTAGAGTTGGCAGCCATTTCTCAGCCTTTGCACCAGCTGGGTCCACTCAGTCTCAGCCAACAGATTTGTCCCCATATCCCCAGCAGGAAAGGCATAGCTCACTGGTCAATCATATGCTTTATACATGTATGATCCCAAATTCAATCATATGCTTTATACGTGTATGGTCCCAAATTCAATCATATGCTTTATACGTGTATGGTCCCAAATTCAATCATATGCTTTATACGTGCATGGTCCCAAATTCAATCATATGCTTTATACGTGTATGGTCCCAAATTCAATCTCAGCCACCTCCAGTTAAGTCTGCAAATGCAGAGCTGGTGAAGGTCTTGCCTTGAGACCCTGGAGAATGGCTTTGGGAGCAGACAGTTCTGGACTGGCTGAACCAAAGGTCTGTGGAAGCATCAGCTTCTGTGTAGCCCTTTATTCCTTTTCCATTCCACCTAATTCCTTGCCCATGTAACAGAACGTCACATCAGCTGTCTCTTCAATTGGGGCAAAGGTTTCTGCAAGGGGGAGGACAGAGAGGTGGGGAAGAGGACTTAACATTACATTGAAAACGTTCTCCTGTTGCTGCAGAAGACCTACCGAGACTTCAGGTTGCAAGGGGTGCTGGAAGGAACTCTGAACAGCAAAACATATGACACCATCCACAGCCGTCTGACAGTAGAGGAGGCCACAGTCTCTGTGTCTGATGGGAGTGGACTTCAAGGCATCACAATGAAGGACAGTGATGAAGAAGAAGGATGATTTGTGTGTGTCTCATGAGGTGTTCTGCTTTGTAATTTGTTCCTGCATTTGCATTCATGGTTTTGCCTTAAAAAGCCAAGGTACAATGAAAATATAACTCATCTCATTCAAAGGAGTGAGCAAATGGTCTCTGAAAGGTTGGCTGGAATTGGAGGAAGGAAAGAAGTTAGTGCCAAGGACTTTGTGATAGCAGTAGAGGGGTTTTGCATATTTTCCTACGTAGCTTTTGCTTTGCACTGTGAAAATGCCGGTATGGAGCCTGTCCTCTACTTGTGCTTCAGTTCCTTTTTGTTTGTAATGTTGCATTCTCTTCTTGTAACTTCACTGAAGAGTGGGCATGCCCTGTGCAGAAAACAGAACTTTGTGCATCACACATAACCCTACAGGCAGTCATTCTGGGAAAACTCTTCAGTGCCATTGTTCCAAACAAACATTGTGTCACTTGCAAGGATTACAGCCCTACCCGTATTTTTCATGGTTCGTTGCTGTTTGCACTATTTTCCACGTTCATTATTAGGTGAAGTGCATTTTAAAAATCTAGTACTTTGATCTTGCTATATATAATGGCAGGAGAACTTCAAGGACTGCCAGCAAAGTAGGCGCAAATGAAATTCCAAGTGTTACATTTTCATCCTCCTTGCAAGTATAAAGTTCTCTTGTCTTGTTGGATGTCAGGAAGCTTGCCTTTGGTATTTTTATGTCTCTGTGAAAACTTGCAGGCAATAAGAAACCCTCCCCCCCCTTTTTTGGTCACAATGATTTCTGTATCTAGCCCACGTTTGTATAAAGACTAAAATTAAAAGATGTTTGCAATATTTCAAATCACTTGACTTTGTGCACTTTTTTCAGTTAAAAAAATAAGTTGTCCTGAAACATTCTGCAATTTATAAACTGTTTTATATGACAGATTTGGAACATCTCATAACTTTAAATTTTGACAAAAATTAAGATCTATTTATATTAACATAAAACAGAAGCCATTTGACAAATAGAACTGATTGTGTTCTCTATTTTTTCTCATTAAAAAATGGTCCTCTTCTTGTTCATATTTTCACATAAAATACATCCACCTCTGCTGACTGGCAACAGCTTGAATTGACTCCAAAGGGATCTAGAAGAGTACTGTGCATAGGCAGAGGAGGTGGGTTACTTATGTTCCTATTGACCCTAAATGTCTGGCCTTAATTTAGCAGTGAAGTGTTTTACTCCAATGAATTCCTTGAACAATTCAGAATCTCTGTAGCTTATGTGACTGTTCTTTGCAAAGACAGGTCAGGCAACTTCACAGCTGTTCTACAAGCACAAAGACTTCAAGGATTGAAAAGTAGAAAGCTTTGAAGAGGATTTTTTTTTTAAGCATTCAAGTAAATTGTGCAGAATAAGGGCAGACAAGTTACACTTTGGCAGGACTTGGCTCCTTCTAGAAGTGGCAATTACTCCTCATTCCCCAAGAACTCAACTGGAGCTTTTCTTTAGTGAGAAGAAGAGCAAATAAAATATTCTGTCATCTTGAAGATTATCTTCGCAAGCAAAGAAAGGCGAGTAGAAAATTTGTCCAGGTCCAGTTTTGCCTGCTCTGATCTCCCATCTGGAATTGCTGTCACTGTTCCCAGATGATGTCAGGAAAAGCCAAAGGTTTTCTGTGATAGTGAGTGATCATGCCAAGTTCATTATTATTGCTCTGGTCTTCAGGGGCTCAACGCCAGTCTGTGCTCATTCACTGGTTATTGGACAGAGCTGCAGGTTACACACACACACACATCTTGGTAAACACAAGTCATAGTGTGCTGAGAAGGTAGATGCTACAGGGGAGGGGGGAGTGTTTAATTTCTGTATATAAAAGAAATGTCTCCAAGGGCACATCCTTAATAAATTACTTGTTTCAAAGTCCCACATTTAGCTGCAAATGTACAAATTGCCCCAATTGATCCTTAAAATGACAGGGGAGGAAGTGTTCACCCAGAACATTAAAAGTATGTTTGTATTCCTTTAATAACTATAAAACCTACATTAGTTAGGCTATATGTTTGATTCCCCAATGATTCTCTCTTGCCTTCTGGCCCACATTAAATACATTCACTCAGACAGTAGGAGTCTCAAAGGCTTTAGTAAACCAATGTGGAACTGGCACTATCTGAGCATCAGAAGTAGCTTTCAGCCGCCTCCACATCAGAGGTGTTTGACAGTGCCATTCTGAGACACACCTTCCAACATCCAGTAAAGTGAATGGGCTTAGCTTTCTGTAACTCTGTTTAGGATGGCACTGCTGATCAGCACAGTATACTCTGGATGAACTGTACGTCTGTCCAAATACAAGTGCGCAGCTTGTTTGTCTTCAGTCTCAAACACCCAACAAAAAAGGGCTTACATTACATATCAGCTTCCTACATCCTTGGTTTAACATCACACCAGCCTTTAGATTGATTGAAGAACATTCTTCTAAATGATCAATCAGTTGTGAACTTCAGAAAACCCCTCTAGATGTGTTGGACCGTGGGAGAAACCAACTGCAGGGGTCTCTCCTACTCCTGATTTACTGACGTGATAGTGGTTTGCAGAAGGACTCCCTGTACTCTCATTGGTAGAAATCACATTAATCAGACCCTGGAACTTTCACCTATAATGGGTAAGATGGAACCAGTCTCTGTGGTTGCCCTGCTACTGTCTATTTGTGTTTCCAAAAGAATGGGAATCTGATTTTTCTCTGAAAATAGTTTACCCTCTAAGTTTACCTATATTTATTTCAAAAGAAAAGCAAGGGATGGGAATACACACTGATACTTGCTTTAGATATAAACACGGAACCGCTGACATTCCCATACTACCATCCCCCACAAAGCTTCACCTGCAGATTATATTTGTAAGTAGGGTGTGTGTTACCCTCCCATTTTACTTATAGGAAAAGAGGTTAAGAAAGGAAGATTGACTAGTCCTTACTAGGAATCAAACAAGCTTTTGGCTTTCCTGACTTAATTCAGATGACATTAATGTTTCTGCAGGAACTATACACCCTTTCTTCTTAATTTTTCCATTGACACATCAGAGCCAAAATCCTTTATGCAAAGGAGAAAAGGTTGATAGTTCTTCACCCATCCTCCATCATTCACCTCCACCTTACCACAAAACATTCTCAGGTGGAGTTTTAAAATGCAATTGTTTTAATTGAGAGAGATCTTCCAAATGAATTCAGTACTTTATAAACTGTAATATGAAGACAACAGTATAAACCTATACTAGGCAAGCCTAGAGCCGCCCATACTGCCCTTCTTTAACTAAACACCTTACTGACCCGACATTAATCTGGAGTGTTTTACTAACCATATTTCGACAGTGAGTTCTATTATTTCAGTGTAGCTGCTGCCTTAACACTGAAAATGGAAGATTAATTTTGAAGTCAGATCCCTCTTTACTAAGAATATCCTAGACAGGAGCGCGAACTCAATTTCTCTACTTCCAAAGAGAAGCTAAATAATAAAACTTTAAAGTCTCCAAATTTTGAAGCAGTTCTTAGAAACTTAAAATTTTCCTTCATGTTTGACTCTCATAAATCCCTCATTGATTGTCATCATAAATATTTGCTTCCACCAATTCAGAGTTCAGCTTCCTAGCTATTTCCCCATCACTGATGACTAATCCATTACAGGCCTTTAGTTAATTTTGTGAGGCTGGAATGCAAGCACTACTTCTTATGCCGCTCAAGATAATTTAAATTCTTTTCTGAGCTGTCCCTGTTATTCCAACATCCTTAGTTGTTGCTAGTGGTTCATTACACATACACAGTAAGGGTCAGCAAGCAGAGTGTCAGATGAGGATCTAGAAGGCATGGAATGCACTCTGCCAGGGAAGCTCGTTGGTTAGCCTAGTCTCAGCCTAACTCACCTTGCAGGGCCATTGCTCTGAGGATAAAATGGAGAGATGTTGTAAGCTGCTTTGGGGAACCGTTGGGGAGGAAAGCAGGGTATAAACATATAAATATTTAGGGAATTTATATACCCCCTCGTCAGCATCCTGCTAACCTCTAGGCAATTTTATGTATACATTAAGCAACGGAGCCACTGGGTGCTATGATAGCGGTTGGCACAAAGGGCTACCTTGGAAAGAATGTAAAGCCTCTTTAAACTGCATTTCATGTGACAGTTGCTGGAATATATACGCAGCGCAGGCAAACTTTAGCAGTGTCGAAAGGGGACGGTTTGGTCTAGTACTCATTCACTTTGGTCTGCTGCTGCCGGCCTCGGGCCCTCCATCTCTAAAAAAATCCCTGCTGAGTAAGGAGACGTGCGCTTGGGTAAATTGCGGGGGAGGGGCATTGCTGCGAGCAAGCGCTTCTTGGCACCCGAGCCCGCCTTGGCTGGAGCGCAGCCCGTGGCACTCCGCCCGCGCGAGACGACGTTGCTAATCAACAGCAATAAACAAAAGCTGCCTAAAAGAAAACCGCGCGCCGACGACACTTTCCTTCCTGCGGCCATCCGCGCGCCCGCTCCTTTGCCGCCCGCAGGGGGGCGGGAAGAGTGAAGAGGGGCGTGGCCATCCGCAGGCTTCTTTGGCCTGTGCTTTAAGGAGGCGGGGAGGGGGAAATCTTGGCCTTTCCAAAGCCGCTGTGCCCTGAAGGTTGCGTTTGTTCTGAGACCGACTAGTTATTGCTGCTGTTCATGCCTAGTAGAGGCATGAACTCCCTAAATGGGGAAATGTTAGTCGCCTGCCTGCGCCTTCAACTCTTTTCCCAGCCTTAAGGCTGACCAGGGGGTCATTTCCTGCAGGAGCGCACAGGGAGCTCCGGCAAAAAGCCCAGGGGGCGGGCACATGCAACAAGTCCCACCTCCTGCTCCCAGCAGACCTGGGCCATGAGGAGCAAGAAGCAGTCTTCCTTCTTTCCCTTTCCCTCCTTCTTTCCTTCTCTTTCTTTCTTTCTCTCCTTCCTTCCTTTCTGCACAGATCTGTGTGTTCCATCCCCCCAGCTAGTAATCCAAAACTGTCCAGTGGCACCTTTGTCCAAGGTT